ATTTTTAAAAAAAGCTAAGAGCCATATTATGCCTGGAAGACAGTGCTCTGTGAAACTGTCTTTTCCCTTTCCTGGTTGATCATTCTCTGGGCAAGGAAGTACCAAGTCACCATTCATATTTTTATATCTGCAGCATTCCAGCTGTTACCTTGTGTTGTATAGTAGGACCAGGGCCTCTTCTCCCAGCTGATTGTGTGAAGGGAACTTAAAAGGGAGAGAACTAGAGTGAACATGTTGGACATCAGGATGGGCATTACAGTCATATTAAGGATTGAATTTTTTTGTTTATTTTTGAGACAGGGTCTGACTCCTGGAACTGTGTAGACTAGGCTGGCCTCACACTGAACAGAGATCCACTCACCTCCTGAATGCTGGGATTGAAGGCATAGACCGTCACGCTCAGCCCTCGGGCTTGAGTCTTGATTCTTACCCACTCTATTGGTGGATTGGCTTCCAACTGGGACATTTATCAAAAACTGGTTCCTCTGGGAAAAGTGACCAGAGGGATCATCCCAGCCTCATGTGGCAGCCATCTGGGATTCAGTTTTCCTCTTTTCTTTCACCCCCCCCCGCCCCCAACCTGACTCTCCACTGCCACACAGTCTGCTCTCCTTCCCTCTTTTGAGTAGATTTTGCTTGGTTTTAAAGGTTGAAATGGTTACTTTCATGCTGGGGATGCAGCTGTTGTGGAACTGGAACTCAGAGATCCCCCTGCCTCTGTCATTCAGTGCTGGATTCAAAGGCGTGCACCACTACACCCAAGATGATAAATCTTAGGCTGGTTTCAAACTTGTGATCCTTTTGAGTGCAGTGATTATAAGCTTGTGTCATTACACTTTTTTGTTTATTTTGTTTTTTCAAGACAGGGTTTCTATATAGCCTTGGTTGTCCTGGAACTTGCACTGTGGACCAGGTTGGCCTTGAACTCAGAGGAGCTACCTGCCTCTGCCTCCCAAATGCTGGGATTAAAGGCGTGCGCTGCTGCTGCCGCCGCCACCGCCACCGCCAACCTCACACTTACTTGTCTTTTATGTGTATTTTATGGCAATTTAATGGCTTGCAAGTGGGAGGAAGACAGAATTTTACCTGTCACAGTTATCAAGGGTAGGTTCCAAATATCTGCCTATTGCTATCAGGAGGTTACGGTGGCCCAGGATCTGGGCCTGCTTTTCCTCTTTAGGGGAAAGGCAGCAGCCAGAGTTGCTGGTTCTGACAGTGTTAAGACTGGTTATAAACACTGGTTCTGAGCTTCAAGGAAGCAGCTCCATTGCACAACTGTGGCCTGATTCCAGGTGCCTTGAGACACAAGACTTTGGCAGTTCCTTTCTTGCTAGCTCTGCTCAGTGACACTTTGGAACCTTGAGGCAGTGAGCCAGGGAAACTGCAGGGCCAGAGACAGGGAGAGCTGTTTACTTGGGTTGTGCTCCTGGCAGGGCCTCTGCAGTTCCTTAGGTGCTAGCTAAACAAAACCTTAGCAACAGGAGGTCTCAAGGGTATAGGCTGTTTTAAGAATGAGACACTGCCGGGTGGTGGCGCGCGCGCGCACGCGCGCACACACACACACACACACACACACACACACACACACACACACACACACACAATGAGACACACTGCTGGTCATGGAGCAGCTGAGCACTGTTTTTGGAGACTCCAGCCAAAGGTGGCTCAGCAAGGATGTTACTGTTTCTGACCCAGGTTTGGACAGCTGCTGTGTTCTCAAGTGTTACTGTCTGCGTCAGATGTCATTTACAAGGGCACCCAGGCTTTTACTGGCAGAGTGGGCTGACTTAGAATTTCTTGATGGTCCCATTCTCCTGTCTTGGTGCAGACTTGACTGTGCAGGTACAGGGGACTCACACAGCAATTATCTAGTTCACTTTTACATCTAGGATTATCTGTTCATTGGCCCTGCCTTCAGCTCTGCAATGTGCACTAGGAGGTAGTGGCTGGTTTTCCCGGCGATCTGAAGACTGGAGCCCTAGCTGGGCTGCACGTGTGTGTCAGTCCTAATCCCTGCTGGGCTCTCCTGTTCCTCACCACTCCTGAGAGTCCACTGCCCTGGCTGGAATCTGACAGGCCACTGACTTCCCCCCACTCTCCTCATCTGCTCAGCCACGACCCCTTTCAGTCCATCAGCCACCATTCCGTGTTGTAGCCGCTGCTGCTGCCTTTCTCCCTGCGTATTTTATGTCCTGCAGGAGGTGGGGAGTATGCTATGCAAGGGGACAGAATGCTGGTGACAACAGCCCAGCCTTTAAAGAGATTTTGTGTCACTGAACATTCAAGCACATGGCCCTGTCCCGGGGAACAGAACAAGGCTCTAGGGAGCTAAGGCTGTTAGGTACTTGGTCAAGCCCCAAGACTCAAGCAGCCCCGAGTCAAAGACGTTCTGAAATTCAGGCTCCACCCTTCCCTCTAGTGGAGCCTGATGGTGGCCCAGTCCTATAGAGAGGCGGGACTAGTCCAGACCACATTTGGAATAGGAAACTGTAAAGTACAGAAAACTTTATTGGAAATCTCTTGATTATATTTCCAAGTGTAACTCTCATTTCCCAACAAAGCACTGGAGAAGGAAGGGGCCTCGTGGCTACCTGGTCCCAGCCTGAGCCTGGCTGCAGGAGTTGGTCTAGAACCCATCTTTTCTTTTCCACTGTGCAGGGCTGAAGGGCACAGGCCACCTTGAAGGATGCTCTGCTCAGCTTCCCTGATAGGTCTGGGACACAAAGGCTGCCGCCTACAAAGGCCACTGGCTGAGCCTTGCCAAGAATCCATGCCCTCACCCGACTCAGTGCTGGCTCTGGGAGCCAATCTGGTTCAGTAGGCCAATGTACCTGATCCAAAGGCTGCAGTGCCATCTGGCCACCACTGCTGGGCACACTTCTCTGTGGCAGCAGAAGCATGCACAGGGAAAGGCTCCAGGATTACATGCAGATTACTAACAAGCAGTTGTGAGCCACCTGCTCCAGTGAATAACAGCTGCTGCCAGTGAGGAGCCGGGGACCAGAGGAACAGGGCAGGCTGGCAGAGGCACTTGACTTACTCAAGCAACAATACCTGAAGGTTTAAGTCAACCATAAGCTCAGCTGTGGTTTCTCAAAAGGGAACCAATCCAGCTTGTAAACCCAGGGCCACATAGACTCTGGAATTAGAGGGAGGGAGGGAGGAATAGCTCCCCAGTCCTGCTCTAGGCTCAGGGACTCGAGCACAGGACGCAGTGCTCCCTTGGGCACCGTGTGTCTTGAGGAGTCATCACATTGAACATACCCGGGATTTCTTGGGCAGACTTTGCAGATGCTGTGTCTAGGAGATCTCAGCAGGAGCACACAGCAAGCAAGCAAAGCCGGCCTGCAGTCAGTGCCGCTCCATGCGGGAGCTTGAGCGGGCCACTCTGCCCCTGCCAGTCCCACTCCCAGTCTCTCCTTGGATGCAAGGGAAGATCCTCAGCAGCAGGGCAGGTTCTGAGGAATCTGCACAGGAGGCACTCATCCTTCTTCCCAGTGACACTGCTAACCCCACCCATATTTTCTATAAAATATCTGATTTCTCTGAAAGTAATAAATATTTACCATGTCCTATATCCAAGCAGCAGCAATTGAGGGAGGATGAGGAGGGAGGGAAGAACCTTTCCGTGACTCTCATGAGTTAGGATGGAGGGAAAGGAGGGGGAAAGAAGGAGGGAGAGGGGGGTGGTCCAGGATCTACTGGTGACAGAGCCCTCCTTGGCCCAGCTTGGTCTCCTTGCTCTTTCTGCCTCGCCCAGTCTCCCAGCCACCACCTGGAATGTCAGGCGGCTGATGGTAAGGACGAGCAGGCAGGGCCGTCTGCAGGGTAGTAGACCAGGCAGGAGGCTGGCAGCAGAAGAACAGGATGCCACCCTTTGTGAAGCAGCCGAGGATGGTCCCTGCTGAAGCTCTTCAGTTATAGCCAGAGTCCTCCCAAAGTCTGGCACTGGGCCTGACTGCTGCCATGAGTCTCCAGGAGGTCCAAAGGGAACCACAATGTCTTTCACCTGGCCAGAGACAGCAGGAAGGCAGGGAGCTGCTGAGGAGTCGAGGTTCTCTGCTGGGTCCATAGAAAGGGGATGCTGCGGATACTCGGGACACTCTTACTGCAGGGTTTCAACAAAGGCATCAAATTCTCGGACATTCTTCTCATGCACAGCCAGCTTCTCTGGTAAGGAATCCTGTAGAGCAAGGAGAGGAGAGAAACTTACTTCAGAAGGCCTGGGAGCGGCAGCCAGCCCATCAGCAGAGTGCACGAAGGGAGACAGAACTGGGCAGTGCCAGGCTGGCTGAAAGGCAGGGCAGGTGAACAGAGGTGGGGAGGAAGAGGGGGTGAGTCCTCATAGTTTGGGGATGTCACCAGGCTGCATCATAGCCTGATGAATCAAAGTGAACCACAACTCATGAGCTAGGTAAACTGACAAAAACATGACAATGAGAAAATAAACATGAAATAGCCTCTGTATAGAGCAGACAGACTCTAAAATCAAACTGCATCTTTAGAGCTCAGTCAATCCAGGAAAAGTTTTAAAAGGGGACCTTTCCTATACTTCGTGGGTATCAAAAGGCCCTCGGAAAACAAGGACAAAGCAGCCACTGCACTTTCAAGACTGACACAGGTCTGTGGGAGGCTGGACACCTGCATCCTTAGACTGGCTGGGGATGGGACTGAAAGTCACTACAAAACCATCAAGAAAAAGACAACCATAGGCTGTCAGCCTGTCCTGCAGCGCCAGCTGTTAATGAAGACCTGGTCCTCCCCATAGACTGCCTCCACCAGGGATAAGCAACAGAAACTACACCAGAGGCCTTAAACTGCAGGGTGACCTTCCACAATGGGTTAGGTAAAAGCATAAGGGGCCTGGGAAAAGTGGGTGTGTTTTAGACATTAAAGTGGCTTGGACACCCTAACAACTGAGGCGAGTCTGGTGGCCACTGCCCAGAGGGAAGGCAAGCCTCGGCTAGTCCTGGTTAGGGGACCACAGCTCAAACTCTTGGACCTTGTTTCCTTCTCAGTACATGCCAGTGATCAGAGGGCTAAGCTCAGGAGCTCCGCACTGTGAGGTCAAAGCTGGGACTGTCGTTGTCCTAGGCAAGGCACTTCATCACAGGGGTTCCAGTCTGTAAAGTGGGTCAGGATGAAAACCTAGTTTACAAGAGTCAAGCTAAAGCACCTATAGTGTTAGCTGGTACTGAAGGATGAGGTGGGTGTGGTGTGCAAGGCCCAAGGCCCAGGGTTCATCCCGTTACACACGGGGGGACAGGAGGATTGAGAATGTGTGTGTTAGTTTGGCGCTTAGCCCCATTTAAGGCTAATACTTAGAGCCAGGTGTGGAAGCACACACCTTTAATCTCAGCAGATGCAGGGGGATCGCTGAGTCTGAGGCCAGCCTGGTTTACACAGTGAATTTTAGAACAGCAAGGGCTACGTAGACTGTCAAAAAAAAAAAAAAAAAAGCAAATACTTAGTTTTCTTTTTGCACTGTGATTCTTGGGCACGGCTTTCTAAACCGTGCTAAGGCAAACCAAGAGTAGCACTTCCTGAGGACCCAGATTTCTGCCAGGGACACAGTCCTACCTTAGTGAGACCTTGTCTCAGAGCACAAGTGCCCCAAGTCCATGGTTTGTTCAGGGCACTCTTCTGCTCTTCAGATGCAGGGAATAGGAAATGCATAAGCAGAGATGTGGTGATCATAGCCTATCTCAGGACTCTGGCCCAGCAATATAAAAGGGCTGAATGGAGAATGAAGCCATCCAAGGAAGACCAGAACACTGACCCTTACTCGGGACCTATGTGTTCCTTTGTCCAGTACAAAGGTATGTGCCCGGCAGTGAAGAGCAGGTCCAGAAGTGTGTGAGCAACACCAAGTGCTGAAAAGGGCCAGTGAGAAGGCTTCATGGGGAAGAGTACTTATTGTACAAGCTTAATAAGGCGAGTTTGATCCTTGGAATCCAGGTAAAGGCAGAAAGGGAGAGCAACCCTACATGGTGTCCTCTGACCTGAGTGCCACACATATGCTGTGGCATAGACACAAACGCACAGTAAGTAAATATTTTCAAAGTGCTGTGCACAAGAAAAGTGAGTCAAGGCAATTCAAGACAACTGCCAGGCACCGCGTACATGTCAAGTATGACCAAAAAGTGATAACCAGCTAAAAGTACTTCTGTCCTTTTCAGCAAAGATGGAAGGCAAAGGGGCAGGATGGCGTTAACCAAGTTCCAAGCCTGTGGCACATGAGGATAGGAGGCAGGAAGAGGAGCCCCGGGAGGGAAGGGGTTTCCTTACCAAGTCTTCCGCCATAGACTGGGCTCCAATATCTATGGAGAGGCTGCTCAGCTGAGGGGGATTCTGAAATTCACGGTAAAAGGTCCCCAAGTCCATCGGAAGAATGTCGTCTTTAGAAAAAGCAGGTTTCTTTAAAAACAACACAAACTCAACTTAGTTCATCTTTGGACCATGAAGGAAAACCAAAAAAGAATTATCTCACGACAAGACTCTTTCTTTTCAGGGAAGTGTCTTCTAGGCTCATCTAAGGGAGAGGAAGTCTTTGTAGCTTGCTTGTCTGGTACATCTAGTCCGATGATGCCATTCCTTCCCCTGGTTAGGTTTATGACCCTCCCTTCAAACTCCTCCTAAGCAAAGGGCTTTTGGAAAACCCAATACACACTGAATTTCAACCAAAGCTGTGATCCTAAAAGCCTTGCTGTTCCCAGGTTCCAAATGTGTCCCCAGAGTATCCTTGCAGCCTGTGCACCTCCCCATCCGAAATGAAAATCTCGTTCACAGGCAGCAGATGCTTCTAGGTTTACTCTCCAGAGAACAGCAAAGAGCAAGTGTGGTGACTGTAACTTACAAAGTCAATCATTACAAAGTCGTCATGTGTATTGCCACTGCTGCCCCCGCTGGAGCCATCTGAGTGCAGGCTGCCGTGGAGGGGAGACGTGGTCTCTGGAGAGTCCGGGGGGTTCACCTAATTCAGAATAAGGTGGAGTCAGTGCAGACTCTGTGAGTAGGCTATGGGTTACTGTGCGCTGTCTGACAGTTAGGGCAGAAACATACTGCTGCACTGAGCATGGAGATGCATGCCTGCAACCCCAGCACTCAGGAGGCTGAGGCTGAGGCAGGAGAACTTCAAGTTGGAGATTTTCCTGGGCTACACAGAGTTCCAGGCCAGCTTTGGCTTTGTAGCAAGCCCCTATCTCAAATCAAACAAAGGAAACAAGAGACAATGCTGACTGCAAATGCATAAGCCAGAGCCTGGCTTAAGTCCTGCAGAGGACTTAGTGACTGGCCAGGGAGGATGGCCACTGTAGCATCTACTGGGAACTGGGAGTCACTGGTGGGCTCACCATAGGATCAGCATCCTCCAGCTCCAAATTCTTGGGAGCAAACATGGCAAAGGGTATGTCCAAACTTGTCAGGGTCACCTGAAGAGATAAAGGAGAGAAGTGTTCCTGCCGGCTTCCCCTAGCACACCTGTTTCTTACAGGCTGTCAGCAGCCTAGAGGTCCAGCAACTTTACATAGCTAGGCCAATCATGCTACCCTGGCCGCCTTGCCCTCCGTGTCTCCAACCAAGTATGTTCACAGCAGAGGACTATGGGAGTGTGGTCGGGAATGCTTAGTCACAGTAACTGAGGAACAGCATGTCACAGGGCCCACTGGCTATTGATCCTCTTCAAAGACAAACATGCACACATACAAATTTTGCAAGCAATTTCAGCAGTTCCACAGGACAGTGTGCAGGGAGTTTACACTAAGAACACAGATATTAACCAGGGCGGTGGCAGGAAAAATTACCTGGTTGATGGGTTTGTTGACAAATGCTCCCACTTTTCGGACAAAGATAGTCTCCAAGACGTCATGGGGTGAGGCCCGTCCCTCACTGCTGTTAGACACAGTCTCAGTGTCCTCACTAAAGAAGAAAGAGAAAGTGGGTGCTCACTCTCAAACACAGAACAACTCTAGTCACTGAGACCACCTTCCTGTGTGACTGAAGCCTGGAAAAGAAGGCCAGCTGCTACCATTGTCTTGCCTTTTGGCTTGGAAGAAGACTGGACTTTCTGGAATAACTAAAAGGCTCACATATGTGAATGAAACGTCACACTGTAATGGTGTGAGCTCATAAAATCCTATCGGAAATGCCGGTGACAACCACACACAGCGGCCAGACACAGTAAGCAGCTCTCAGGAAGCTGCAGGTTAGCATTTACCTCACAGTTCAGCCCCTTTTAAATTCATTCATTTTTAATTTTATGTCCATTGGTGTTTTGCCTGCGTGTCTGTCTGTGTAAGGTTATCAGATCTTGGAGTTACAGTTGTGGGCTGTTATGTGGGTGCTGGGAGTTGAACCCAGGTCCTCTGGAAGAGCAGTCAGTGCTCTTAACTGTTGAGCCATCTCTCCAGCCCCTCTAGCCCCCTTTTTTCTGATTAACTAAAAATACCGTAAGACCCTATAGTTTAAAGCTGGGCTTAGTGGTACACGCCTTTAATCCCAGCACTGAGGAAGCTTCTGAGTTCTTAGGACCTGACTCTCAGAGCCCTCACCATTCAGGGTCCGCTATCATAGCTACTCCTAGACAGGACCAGCAGGAGGCCAGGATCACAAAACTGGAGCACTAAGTGACCAATAGCTCTTCCTTTGATCATGCCATTGGGGTTGAGGTGAAAAAGGTTCAACATTTGAAAAGATAGGATAGAATAAATTATTTTCCAAAGATTTCCCTTCCCACTACTCAACTGTGCCAATGAAAAAGTACAACAGGCATTGTCTACTGAGAAGGTTTGTGAGGGGAGGAGAATGTCTTCTCATTATCCCAGGACTGTCCAAACAGCTTTCAATGCAGCTTTCCAGAGACAGTGCTTAGCCTGCTCAGAAGGAACAGGCACTATGCCACTATGCAGTCAGGGTGCAGACTGCACTTGTGTGTGTGTGTGTGTGTGTGTGTGTGTGTGTGTGTGTGTGTGTGTGTGTGTGTGTGTGCGTGCGCGCATACACACACACACACACACACACACAATGTTCAATAAAGAAGAAGAAAGTCCTACTATTTCCTCTTAGCAGCTCAGCCCTGGATAGCTTCCTCACATACTAGCTGCAATATTAGACTCTCATCAAAAACCTTTACCCCTTTGGAGCAGGAAATATCAAGCTGAGTTTGTGTGTCGGGGCATCCAGGTCCCTGGCTGGCATTAGCAGCTGCAGCGCCAGGATGGAACTCACCTGCTAGAGGGCGTGGCAGCACAGTGGGTCCCATCAGAAGGTGTGTGAGTCACCAGTCTCTCCTGGTCAGCCTGGGTGCCGTGAGCAGGCTGGTTGGGAGCAAGAGGTACCCCACCTTCCTTCCCTGGAACCATCAGCTTTGGAGGGAATGGAAAGACAAAATGAACTATGGCAAGGCCACACAGCAGGTGAACCTCATAAGCTTTCCCATCCCCAATGCCTCCACCAGGGAAGCAGCATCTTAGACCTTAATTCTCTTGGGATATGGCTACTAGAAGACATGCGTGGTGATAACTATAGAGGGAAAAGGGAAAAGAGTGAAACCCTGGCAAAGTCTTTCCCCTCTAAAAATCTGAGGATCCACCTTCTCAGAAAATCATTTTAGTCCTCCAAGTTACCCTGTTGCCCCGAAGGGGGGGAGTCAGCCCTGGGAAGCCCGTGGTCCTCCCCATCCTGAAAGGTACCTGGTGAGTGTGTGTAGTGTTTAAGCCAGCAGCAAACACTACTGGATAAGCCAGGTCAGCCGATCCAAGGCCCAGGACAGCAGGCTGATAGGAAAGGCGAGAGCTTGAGAGCTGAGCAAGAGAAAAACAGAGGGCGGAGGAGAGGCAGGGAGAAAAAGGCAGTCCTAGCATGTGACCCATGCTGGAACTCAGCAGAAAGGCAGGAGCAGATTACAGTGGAATGAGGGGCAAGGGTGGGCCAGGCCTTCATTAAGAAAACAGAGACTTGTTTGATCTGGGATTAGCTTTAGAGCTTCCCAAAGGCCTCCAGTGAATGCTTGGTTACCTAGTTCTCTGTTTCCAGCTCAGCAGATCTCCTGGGCACAATCCTGGGGTGAATTTCCCATGTCATCCTATTTTCTCTTTTGTCCTTGAGATCCCTTTGAAACTAAAACTATCTTCTCTAATCACACCTCTATCACCCCAGGGAATGGACAGCTCCTATTTATATTGAAAATAGAAAGATTACCAGTCATGGACTGTTTATTTGGAAATCTGATATAAATAACTCCATGTATTTTTCACATAAATGGGGAAGGGCAAATAAAAACCACTATTTTGGGTTGCTGGGCTGTGGCTGTGTCCTGTTAAAAGTAATTACCAAGCCTTAAAATAATCCCACAGAAAACTTAGGGGCTAAATAACTATACCCTGTACTCTGCTTTCGTTTTTTTAAGTAGAAAGAAGCCATCTGATCACATCCCCTTCTTCCCATTAGGAACTCACTTGATGGGAAAAGGCCAGTCCTGCCATGGGGACCCTCAGAGTGTCCGTCACCACAGGAGTAGGGGTCTGAAAATGTGCCTTTGTGACAGTAAACACACACTGTGCACAGACACACAGAGACAGGAGAAACAAGAAAAAAAGAGAAGGACCTTGAGAAACACCTCCAGAAGGGACAGCAGTGAGAGGCTGGACAGAGCGGTGACTCAGGAGAGAGGCAGGGAGATGCATGCTGGCTTCCCAAAGCAGCAACTAGGGGGTGCTGAGAAGTGACATGTATCTCAGGGCATGCCCCGCAAGCCCGTCTCCTTGACAGGCAGCTGGAGAATGAACTAACTCAAGTGGGAATGACACAGCCAACAGAAACCCAAACCAAGCATTAGTCTGTCATCAGCCAGAAAGGTGTGGGAGGAAGAGGGAACAGCTCTAACCCGAGGCCTGGAGCAGGATGGAGGTGAACTTCAGAACTGAGGACGCAGGCCTCGATCAGGAAACTCTCAGTCTGCAGGACAGGCTTAAAGAGCTCAAATTTGTTGGCCAGGCTGTTAGCAAACCCAGGCGCACACTTTACTATGTCATCCTGGGAGTGGTGTGTGTGTGTGTGTGTGTGTGTGTGTGTGTGTATGTGAGTGTATGTGTATTCATATAGTCTTGCAGTTGGGAGAACTTGAGAATAAAAGCTTGGGTGTTCTCAACATTCTTAGAATTTCAAAGCTACTTATACAAATGCTGGTCATTTGGTTCTGTTATTTCAGCTTTAAATTTTGACTGCTACGTGTGTAGTGTGGCATACCCCTGGCCCCACAAAATAAATAAATGTAGTAAAACAATTTTTTTTAATGTAAAAGAACTTAATAACAAAAATGTCCCCATTAACAAACTGGTAGCTGAGCATGGTGATTCTAGCACTTGGGAGGTGGAGGCAGCAGGATCAGACATTCAAAGCCAGTCTTGGCTACATTTCAAGTTATGAGATCTTGTTTCAAACAAGCAAGCAAAAATTATAGTAGTACATGGTGGCACACACCTTTAATCCTGGCGCTAAGGAGATAGAGGCAGGTGGCTCTCTGCGAGTTCAAGGCCAGCCTGATCTACATAGACTCCCATCTAAAAAAAAAAAAAAAAAAAAAAAAAAAAAAAATGGGTAGGTCTAGAAGAAACTAATAATACAAAAGTCATAGTGTGCATGCTTGTAATCCCAACACTCAGGAAGCAGAGGAAAAAGAGAATGGCCACAAGTTCAAAGCCAGCCTGGTCTACATAGTGCATGTTCTAGGTCAGCCAAGAATACATGGTGAGACATTATTTCAAAAGCAAAAACCTGAAGTCCAAGCAGAAGAGGATAAGGGAATGAGGTAGATGGTAAAGGAGTCTGAGAAGTCCACAAAATTCAGCCAGCAGAAATAATGACTGCCTGTCACAGTCTCAACCATGCCCGGTAACACAAGACTGTGGCAATGCTTCCTCTGAGGATGCTGGCATCAGAATGTTTTGCTGAAACTGGGTTTTCGAATCCAGATTCACTCCTGTGGGAAGTGAGTGGTCGAAATGCTTGGATAGAGAATGTGGACAGGCAGATGGGGAGCTGTGTCAGCTATTAAGTAAAGCAGTGCTGCCAGGTGTGGTGGCGCACACCTTTAGTCCCAGCACTCGGAGGCAGAGGAAGGTGGATCTCTGAGAGTTCGAGGCCAGCCCAGTCTACAGAGCGAGATCCAGGACAGTCAGGTCAGTTATACAGAAAAACCCTGTTTTGAAAGACCAAAAAAAAAAAAAAAAAACCAACAACTAAATCAACACATGCAGGCAAGTTAGAGTGGTTCTCTGGTGTCAGAATGCAGGAGAATTCTGTGACTGAGTTTTAGAATTTGAGGACAACAGCAGAATGGTTAGCCTGGGAACAAGCACTATTATTGCTGAAGAAGGCTCTCTGTTACTCCACAAAAGAAGCTCCTTAAATGACCACAATCACCAAAGGGAGTGTAGCTAAGTCTGGACAACGTTCCCTAAGGCCCACATGAATGCACAAACAGCCCACAACCCTTTCCCTACCTGGGAGGGAGGGGAGGTGGAAAAGGAGGTGGTACACACTTCCTGAGAGTCTTCCACTGATGGGTACGTGACTCCAGCATCCTCACCAGTTCTACAGTGGAAGAAGAAGGACAATGAATTTGATGATGATGGTAGCCAACTTTAGAAAGTACACAGTGATTAAAAAAGGCTGGGATTTGTGTCAAGAAGTTTTAGGCAGAATTCATAAAGCCAAATGGCAACCTGAAAAACATTTTTCATAGCCCACAAATTACTGGTGTTCATGTAGTCTCCAAAAAACTTCCTCTGGGAGAAAGTGACATCACTGCTAAACACTCATTAAGTTCCCAAGACGCTGCGGCTCAAGCCTTGTGTACCTAACAGGCAGTAGCAAGAAAGGAACTAGCCTTTTCATTTCTACCCACATGACCAGTGGATGTTTTGCTTAGCGGCAGCTTGGGGGAGCATCTCCCAGTCCTTACCTGTAATTGCAGGGGTGCATGGGAGAGGAGCTGGGATAGGGACGGTCAACAAAGTGATCAATGATAATCCCCATGATAGGTGGTGTCCTCTCAAATTGCCTGTAATGCAATAAGCACATTGCAGTATTTGTTAGACTGTCTTCCCAGTCACCTTCAAGTCCACAGAGGGCCCCTCACTTCAGAGCTACAGCAGGTCTACCAGAAGTCTGTCTCTAAATAGAAACCACAGACTCTATTTCTGGACAGGCTGGCTTGAGGACACTCGAAATCTCCAATGTGTGACAGTGATATTCTCTCCCTCTCTCAATCACATTTTTCGGGAAAGGGTGGCTTTCAGCAATGTAAACTCTAGTATTAGCCTTGGAGCTTTGGTTGGGGAAGCAGAAGCTTTAACATCTTTAACATCATCGGGAGACCTCTTATGGACTCCAAGCCACTCCCTCACCTGGTAGACATGAATGCCAAATTAATTCTGTAAGCGCAGGAAAGAGTGATGGTGCCGACAGGGGTGCCCACTGTTCCAACTCGAACTGTCTGGAAGCCTGGAAGAGAGAAAATAGCAGCTTTCTTCCGGAGAATACGGACACAACCCCTAGCCAGCCTGTTGTATAGTCACTATTTACTCAGCACTATGAGGAGAGCAGCTTTGGTTTTTTGAGTGTGTTTCCCACTTGCAATGTATTCTCTATTGACCCAGTGCTAGCAAAGGAAAGACACTGTCTTAAGAGATCTTAAGGGGCTGGAGAGATGGCTTAGAGGTTAAGAGAACTGACTGCTCTTCCAGAGGACCTGAGTTCAATTCCCAGCAAACACATATAGATGGCTCACAGCCATCTATAATGAGATCTGGTGCCCTCTTCTGGCAGGCAGGGATACATGCAGGCAGAACACTGTATACATAATAAATAAATCTTTAAAAAAACAGAGATCTTAAAAAACCAGAAGACAATGCCCAGCAGTGGTGGTGCACACCTTTAATCCCAGCAGAGGCAGAGGCAGGTAGAATATTACATACCTTCTCCTAAACCATTCAGTTGAACTTCCCCAAAATAAATCCTGTAGGGAAGAAAGAAAAGAAAATGACACCCTATTCTCCGTTTTCAAAGGCTCTGTCTAAACACCTAAACAGCCTAACCATGCCCTGCTTCCCTTCTCTGCATGGGCGCCTTTCTGCAGCTAAGCCTCAGGCACGAGCACCGTGTGGTGATGGCTACAGAAGAGACAGGAAGACGGGGAGACGGCAGAATCAACAGCACCTCCAGAAACACCCAAGCTTGTGCAGCAAGCCCTAATTACCGGAGGGGCCATCTCATCTGCCCTTAAGGTTTTTGGCCACAAAAACAAGAAAAGTAACCAACACAGTAAGAAATGAGTGAAGAATAGAAAGAAATCTTCTATTATAGCCAAGTAACAGTCTAGTAATTTTCAACAAACACTCAACTTGGCATCTGAGAAAAAAGACAGAGGTTTTTAGGGTATTGTCAAGAGAAAGGATGACTTCTTAAACAGTCTCAGCATAGGATCATTTCAGTATAACTGGCAAGTCTCTCTTCGGTCCCTCCATACTAATATGCTAATTCTACAAGTCAGCTCTACATTTGACAAAGGCTAAACCAACAGCTCATGTCCAATATAAAACATTCTTGGGTGATGCAGGAGCCCTGACTTCCTCATCTTGTTCTCATTCTTGTATCTCCCAGACTCCTCCATACAAGCCCATTTGGCAAAGTAAAACGAGGACTGTGGTGACCCCCCACCATGCCCCCCTCTGCCTGGTCAGCCACTGTCCATTCCACGTGCAGTCAGGGATCATCCTCCGGTATTCCTACTTGCTAAGACTCTGTTTGCCCTTGCGGCTCGATGTTACTTCGTCCAGGAGGTAAGAAAAAGCTCTGCCTTTCTGTGCTCTCCTAAGTACTTTTCCCTGGCGTTGCAATGCAGTTTTCAAATCCTGGTCCTAACTGTGCTTATGCATGTATATGTATCAAATTTCCCCATTAAAACAGAACCACTTGCTGGGCATGGTGATGCATGCCTTCAATCCAAGTACTTAGGAGGCAGAAGCAGGCGGATCTCTGTAGTTGAAAGTCAGCCTGGTCTACGGAGTGAATTCCAAGACAGCCAGGCCTACACAGGGAAACATAGTCTCAAAAACATCCCCCCAAACAAAACAAAACAAACACCCCACTAAGTCCAGAGCCTCTGTGCCTAGTATAGTGCGTGCTTTGAATAAAATGTGCTGAAGTGGATTACTGGCCCAGTACCTAGACTAACTGCTGACTAGTTCCTTACAGCTATGGACAAACACACTTAAATCACTTTGTCAGATACAGGTTGACTTTAGCTCTGGAAGAGAAAAGGTTGTAGAATCAAGCATGAAAAGCTTATGTTTGTTTGTTTGAGACAGGGGTCTCATGTAGCCCAGGCTGGCCTCATATATGCTATGCAGCTGAGGATGATCTTGAACTCCTGATCCTCCTGTTTTCATTTCCCAAGTGCTGGGATTACATATGTGCTAGCATCCCAGCAAAAGCTTTTTAAGAAAATTAAAATTGGCCAGGTGTGGTGGCGCACACCTTCACTCCCAGCACCTGGGAAGCAAAGGTAGAAGGATCTCTGAGTTCAAGTCCACCCTTGTCTACATAGCAAGTTCCAGGACAGTACATAGTCAAATTCTGTCTCAGAAAGAAAATTCTTAAAAATTAATCAATTTTTAGACAAATTCTCACTGTGTATCCTGGCTGGCCTTGAACTCAGAGATCTGTCTGCCTCTGCTTCCTAGGTGCTGTGATTAAAGGTGTGCACCACCATGCCTGGCTACATGGAGTCTCCTTTCCTTCTGTGTGTTGCTGAGGAGTATACCCAGGGCCCTGTGCATGCTACACAGGTCCTTTACCACTGAGCTACATCCCCAGACCCGGGAAATTGTTTTTGCTGTTGTTTATTTTTCTTTCTCCTAGGAGTATGTGATGTATATGAGTGTTTCTTAGTGTGTGGGCACATACATGTGTGCAGGGTTGCACATGTGTAGAGACCTAAGGTTGATGTCAGGAATCTTCCTCCATCATGTTCTACCTTATTACCTGAGGCAGGGTCTCTCAACTGAATCCACAACTGACTGACAGTAGTCTGCCAGCCAGCTTACCCAGAATGCCACCTGTTGTATAGTATTTGTTGACACTGTGAAGATGGACCTTTGCCAAAGCACCTTCTGACTGGTTTAATAAAGAGCTGAATGGCCAATATCTAGGCAGGAAGAGGTTAAACTGGACTTCTGGGGACAGAGAGGACTCTGGGAAGAAGAAAGGCAGTCACCAGTGGACACAGAGGAAAACAGACATTGAGGAGGAAAGGTAAAAGCCACGAGTCACATGGTAACATGTAGATGAGTAGAAATGGGTTAATTTAAATTACAATAGCTAGCAGGACAAGCCTAAGCTGTTGGCCAAGCTTTCATAATTCAATGTAAGTCTCCGTGTCTTTTTTTTTTTTTTTTTTTTTTTGGTGAGCTGGCGGCCCAAAGATAAATCCATCTACACCCACCTCTACCTTCCCAGTGCTGGCCTTGACTTACAGGTGGGCTGCTATGCCCACTTGGCCTTCATGTGGCTTCTGAAGATCTGACTCTGGTTCTCAATGCCTGCATGACAAGCACTTTAACAACTAGATCATCCCCCCAGCCCCAAAGCTTGCTTGTAAACTTCTTAAACTCCGTCTAGATTTGAAATGTATGTCTGCAGGACCTCAACATCCAGTCAACAGGAGCTGAAGCTGCACAGAAACAAAAGGACAGTGGGCCGGGTGACTCTGAAAAGCGGGTTCACGAGGGAAGCTGCAAAACTATAGAAATAATACTAGAACCTGTGAATGCCAGACTATGTACATTGCAAGGAGGCTGATGATTAACGCAAGATCCTTGATATTTACCTGTACAGTATTACATATTCATGCCCTTGTTTTCTGGAGAGTCTGTAGGCTGGTGTCACCCTCGTTATAGCGAGAAGAGACTTCAGCAGCAGGGACAGTCTGTTGTATACAGTGTAGGAAACTTTGATTTCTTTGTCACACCTGAGAAACAAAAAGACAATGCCGCAACTCTGCCAAACACAATCTGAACTAAAGATGCACTTAAGAGCTCTAGTGCTACAAGGTGGTAGCGTGTGCCTTTAATTCCAGCACTTCGGAGGCAGAGGCGAGGGGCGGATCCAGTTCGAGGCCAGAGATCTACAGAGCAAGTTCTAGGACAGGCAGGGATACACAGAAAAAAACCTATCTCGAAAAACCATTAAAAAAAAAAAAAGAGAGAGAAGCCAGGGGGTGGTGACGGCAGCACTCGGGAGGCCAGCCTGGTCTACAGCACAAGATCCAGGACAGAACCCTGTCTCAAAAATGAGAGAGCTCAGGGTTGGGGATTTAGCTCAGTGGTAGAGCGCTTGCCTAACAAGTGCAAGGCCCTGGGTTCGGTCCTCAGCTCAAAAAAAAAAAAAAAAAGGATGGGAAAAAAAAGAGCGAGATCGAGAGAGCTCTGCCAGCATGCTGCTGAAGAAGTCAGAGTACACGTCTTTCTATGTTAGATACAGGTAAGCACCAGGAGAACCCACTGTGGTTCTGTCTACTTAAAAACAACCTAACAACACTGCAAATTATTCTCAGCCTGCTGCTTATTGTCAAGGTTCTGTCTTTGGAGCTATTTAACTCTATATAGAAAATCTGGAGAAAAAAATCTATTTGTTACAAAAGTTTGGATAACCTGTCAACTGCTTTTCTATTCAAGGAAAACAAATGTCCATACCCACACATACTCTTTTTGAAAACTCAAGCTTCAGGCAGGTGCTGAGCTAATTTGCCTTGAAAGACAAAAACAGGGGAAGGAGGGGCCATTCCAAGCCATCACAGTACGGTAAGAGCAATGAGGAGAGATTTCACTGGCTAGCTGCCCCCACAGAATACCATGCTGCAGGAGCTCCCGGGGGACTTCATCAGAGACAGAGCTGCACTCTGGAAGAACAACAGTCCCTTTCCCCTCGTGAGTCACTCTGGACCCACACTCCCTCTGAAGGTCGTCTCTGTGCCTAGGCTGGAAGCCAAGCACGAAGCAAATCACAGTGAAGCCTGCAGGCTCTGCTCACCGGTCAGAATGCCTCTCTGTGGCTGACAACAGAGCCTGCGTTCACGTGATGTCACTGCTCAGCCTCAGCTACCACACCAAAGAGTGGGACACAGAAACACTTACTTTTCATTCATTTCAAGACACCAAATTTCCAACTCCATGGAATCTCCCTGCAGACGGAACAGGAGAAATACATTTCCATTATTAAAAGTTAGCTGACTTGTCATCATACAATCACAAGAATATTGGCGACTACAGATCAACAAAAAAGAAAAGAACAATTTAGAAACAGCAGCTTTTCTAAAAAGTTGGATCATGCTATCTATACAATATTTTTGTCTTAATTTTTTTTAATAAACATATCGTGGAATTTTCCTTCTAACTGAAAATTACAGAGAGGAGGAGGAGACAAAGGGAGAAAGATCAAGAGAGACTGATTTTTATTTTCTTTTGTAGTACAGGGGATCATCTCCAGGCTTCGTGTTCACCATGAATCTATAAGTCAGCTACTCTAGCAGAATCTCCACATTCTGGGCCACTGTTCATGATTACCCCGTATACTATCATTTTATCTATCCAGGTCTCCTATTTTGTGACATATTTCTAGTTTTTTACCACTACAAGAAAAACACTTTTCCTTTAATTGTATTTATTTCTTTAGTGTGGTGGTGGGCCACAGCACACATATGGAGATCAGGGTACAACTTTGGGGTACTGGTTCTCTTCTACCATATAGGATTCAGGGAGCAAACTCAGCTCATCAGACTTGGTGACAAGCACCTCACTGTTGAGCCATCCTACCAACTCTAGGCTTTGCTTTTTGAGACAGAGTCTCATGCTCACTTTGGCTGTGCATATATTAAAATTGGAACAAGAGAGTCTCATTAAGCAAAATAAACTAGCCAAAAACCTCTCAATCCTCCTGTCTCAATTTCCGTAGTGCTGGTATTGGGGAGAGGTACTACCACACCTGACAAGAATATACAGTTTTCAAACTTTTCAAGGCTTTGTACATGCTAGCTAGGCTGTACTACTAATCGATATCTCCAGTCCTAAAATTTTTGATATATATTTTCCAAACTGCCCTTTAGAAAGACAGATATTTTTCAAGTGACAGAAGAGCCTTTCACTTCAATTCTACAGGTGTTATTTTTAAGTGACATCATCAGTTTAGGAAAGGTTATTTTTACCTTAACTTAAACATCTTTTAGCTGATAACATCAGCCAAATTGTCCCGCTGTACATTATTCTGAACAAGTAGGCAAGAAAAGACTCAATTTGTAATTCCTCAGCTTTATAGCATTCCTATGTCATGAGCATGGGTAACACCTGGGTTGAATCCCCAGCAGAGCAAAAAAGTGTAAATCAAACGCCCCAATTCTGCCAGGTGGTGCCGCCAAACACCTTTAGTCCCAGCACTTAGGAGACAGAGACAGGCAGATCTCTGAGTTTGAGGCCAGCCTGGTCTAGAGAGTGAGTTCCAGGACATCCAGAGCTACAGAGAAGCCCTGTCTCGAACTTCCTGCCCCTCAAATCTCCAATTCCTTCAAAAAATGATGTGAAATTCATAAAGAAAAGAAACATGAATAAAGCTAAAAATGAATTGGAAGCAGGGGATGAAGAGCCTTGCATGCCAAGAAAGACAACCAAGTCCAGCATGGCCTTACCTCAGAAGTCTTGAGTGAGATCTCCACACACATAGAGCGCCCCACAGCAGGCAGCTGCCCTGACAGGGCCTTCTTTGCTTCATGTGTTACTTCTGGGATGTCTTTGATTGCTAAATTGAACTAAAAACCAGGAGAGATTTCTGTGTGAAACCCTCTCAAGGAATATTATGGGAACACAGAATAGTGCATGCAGATATTGCCTTTAGCTGAGCTGGAGAGCTGGCTCAGCAGTCAAGAGCACTGACTGCTCTTCAGAGGACCTGGGTTCAATTCCCAACCTCCACATGGCAGCTCACAACTGTCTTTAACTCTAAGATCTGATACCTTCACACACACAGACATGCAGGCAGAACACCAATGCACATAAAATAAAAATTTAAAAAAATTTTAAAAAAGGAACACTAAGTCACTTCTTCCTTCCCTATGGGAAGCAGTCTGCACCAAAGCCCCAAGTCTCAAGCACACGCCTTTAATCCCAGCACTCGGGAGGCAGAGGCAGGAGGATCTCTGTGAGTTCAAGGCCATCCTAGGCTACAGAGTGAGTTCCAGGAAAGTCTCCAAAGCTAGACAGAGAAACCGTGTCTCAAAAAAAACCAAAACCTACCCCCCCTCCCCAAAATAAAATCCCAAGTCTCACGCTAAAAGTTAATTACCTATTACACTGATTAGCTGCCAAGATATTAGTTTATCTCCTAAGTACTATATTTTGCCATGTTACAGGAGAAAGTCAGGGTTCAAACATATAGGAGACTAATTTTTATAAAGAATGTACACACTTTCTATACAAATGGGTCAACTGACTAAGCAACTCTATGAGCAGTACTTCTTACATGACAGTGGGGCATTTTATATTCACAGCCATTAGCAAAGAACAGGAATTTACCCAATCTGAACCCGTTGGGGAAGAAGATGAGCGGGTGCAAATCTTTTCACCAAGTCGAGCCTGGACAATTACTTGGACAGTCTGAAAACAAAGCACAAAATAAAAAATGGCTTGGGGTTAGAGCCTGAGCAATGCTAAAAATAGAAAAAAGGGGGGAGGGGAGGAAAAGGAAAAGAAAAACAAAATGATTTATCTCCTTATGGGGTTAAAATCCTGCCAAAGCAGGGTTAAAATGAGGCTCCAGGGAGGTGCAGAGGCATAAGAGCAAACAGAAAGACAGTGCACCCAGAACATACTGTAAGCATTCCTGAGGGTGGGAGCAGCCAGTCAAGAGCAGTGGGAGGCTTGTGCTCTAGAGTGACCTCACATGGCAGAAGGAAAGGTGCACGTGGTGGCCGCGGTGTTCATAAATGTCCACTGACACAAATTTGGGTCATCATAGTACATTTAAAACAAGAACTGCACAATTATCCATACAGCTTTGCTCATGCGGCTTGTTTCTTCCAGATCATTTTACCATCGGAATTGATGGCATGGCTTGCACAGTAATTGTTGCAAGGAAGGAGCGATATAGGCAGAAATAACCTTTAGATTCAGAAAAACATAACATTCAAATTATACCTGGAGTTTTCCACTTACTGGGAAGAGAAGAATTCATAAAAATTGGTGGGACAGTTAATTCTAATTGTCAATTTTTGCATTACAAAATTGTCAAAAAAGAAACAAAAAATTAAGCTGGGTGGTGGTGGGGCACACTTTTAATCTCAGCACTCCAGAGGTAGAGGCAAATGGATTTCTGAGTTTGAGCTCAGGCTGGTCTACAGAGCAAGTTTCAAGACAGCCAGGGCTACACAGAGAAACCCTGTCTCAACGAAACAAAACAAAATAAAACAAAACATAACAAAAAAAACCTGTACAGTATTAGTGAAACTTGTCTTTGGGTGGACCCATCCACTCCATGGCTGGAGTAATGGACTAATAAAAAAGGAAAGGAAGCTGGAGCAGAGACAGTAGTGAGGATGCTGGCTGCAGTCACGAGGACGGGGTGGGATGCCAGACCCCACACAGAAAGCCAGGCAGGCCACAAACGCCTGTAACTCCAGCTCTGAGGGGTTCAACATCCTCTTCACTTCCATCGGAGCACCAATGTATGCACAAGAGTGAGAGTGCACGCACGCGCGCACGCGCGCGCACACACACACACACACACACACACACACACACACACACACACTCTGCAGACTGACGTTTAAGCAACCCCGAGGACCGGAGTTCAATCACCAGGCCCCACAGATGGAAGGAGAGAACAGACTCCTGCAAGTGCTTCCACACAAGTGCGGCACACATGCGCGCGCGTGCACACGCGTGCACGCACGTGTACACACACACACACACACACACACACACACACACACACACACACGCTATGTAACAATAATGTGAAATGGTCCAAAGGAGTATGGAGCAGTGCTCACACATGTAATCCTAGCACTTGCAAGGCTGAGGCAGGACTGCCATGGGTTAGAAGCCTAGCAGGGTTACGAAGTGAAACCTTATTGACTAACAAGAGTTAGCCAGATGGGCACTGGAATTTTCTTTTCTCTACTTCCTGCTCCAGCATGACATGAGGAAGCAACCTCCAGCCTCCATAGTGGACTACATTCTCAGAACTATGAGACAGAACAGATCTCGCTCCTGTCAAGAACCTGGTCACAGCAACGAGAACAGTACCTAATACACTGGGCATTTTAGTGTTCGTTGAAGCTGCGGGAAAGATGCACAAAGACCGCCCATTCCAGTTCACAGTCTTTATTCCCACCTCAAGGGAATATACTGTGCCAATAACCTGGCATAACTGTTTGACATTTCTACAGATAGCCTTACAAAAAATTTTTTTGAACAAGTAGCTGTGGAAAATTGGAAGCTACTTTTACTTACACCCCCAATTCTACCCCCACACTTCACAGTTTCGTTTACAACAGACAGAAGCATCCCTGAAAATGGGCAAGCTGCAAGCTGTTATGCTACGTTTCCAAGGGAGGCGAAGGGGGAAGCATGAACGATATTTCTAGCTGTTCCCAGCCCAAGAGAATGGACAAATTACCTTGAGTGCAAAAAACTTAATAAACTTGTCCAGGTCCTTTCTGTCCTGGGAATTGAGATCAGTTTCCATTGCCTATGGGAACCTGTAATAGAACACAAGAGGGTGACGACAAGTGTGACTAATCCTTTAAAAAGAGATCACTGCGTCAGAGCACAGACGGCCCTCCTAGCTGTACATCAGTCACGTGGGAGTGGGAGAGACGACACTTCTTTCAGTTCAAGATACCCAAGGAGAAAATATTAAAATACTATCTCTTGAGGAAACTAATCCCACACGAACAGCCATATGTAGGAACCTACGAATGCCTGAGGTCAAGTGCACTCATTCTGAAGTTCTGGGTATGATGCATGTGTGTAGGCCCATCCCCATCGTGAGAGCACATGGAGCCGCCGCTGCCGTCAGAGGATAAGCTCCAGTGCTGGGTCCCACCTTCCACTTCCTGTGTTGTTGGCTGCTGTGCTGTGGGCTTCTGGAGATTCTCCTGCCTCCACGGCGATCCTGCCACAGGAGGAGTGTGTCTGCAGATCCACAGAACTGTGCCTGGCTTTATGTGCGTTCTGGGGGTTCACACTCAAGTCCTCCAACGTGCACAACAAGCACTTCACCACTCTGCAATGGGCACCACCCACAAGCACTGAGCCACGATCACCCTAGCCAGATTCTGAACTTTGAGCTTTAAGTAGATTATCTAATTTTAATGAGAAATTGTGCAAACACACATGAGTTCATCTACATTACGTCAAAAGGCCACCAATCAGTCTCACTTTTTAAGGCTCCAATCTGCTTTGAGAAACTGGTGACTTGAAAAGTTCTTTCTTCACAGTAACAAACTCATATGGGAATACTTATATCTCAACAAGTTCACAAATTTCCAAAGCGCATGGGAGCCCACCCTCTGGAATGAACTAGTTTGAGATGACTGGTAATAAGGAATAAAATATTTGGGAAAAGAAGGGCATGACGGCCATGTACTAACGGAGTAAAAGAGCTGATGGGCACACCACAGTGGGGTGTGCATCTTCTGTGCCACATACAGCCTCCTCCAGCCCTCAGGAGCAGCACCTCGGCTGAAAGAGAACTTTACCACTGATATAACCTAGACTGATTCTGCAAAATGAGAGGCAAGGAAACCAGTTAGATCCTTGGCAAGAATCCCCGCTTGTGGTCAAGGCTAAAGCTCCAGTGCAGACATGATTGGGAAAACGGCATGGGTGGGAGACACTTTAGAAGGAGAGCTGACTAGAGGCGGACCGGAGACAGGGCATGCAGCTGTGCCAGGGCTTAACTGTGGATAACTGAAAAGCGAGTCGAGTAAGATTTAATGAGATTTCATTTTGCAACAGTGGTTCTCAACCTTCCTAATGCTGCGATCCTTTAATAGAGTTCCGAATGTTGTGGTGAACCCAACCATAACTTTATTTTTGTTGCTACTTTATAACTATAATTTTGCTACTGTTATGAATCATAATGTAAATATTTGTGTTTTCTGATGGTCTTAGGATAACCCCGTGAAAAGGTCGCTCTACCCACTAAGGGGATGAAACCTACAGGTTGAGAACCACTGTTTTACAACATATAGGGAAGCCAAAAAGGGAATTGGTTTTAAGGAAACGGGTAAACAAAGGAGAGCACTCCAACAGGAAATGAATTTTATTGAAAAGTGTATTGAGATATAATTATGGAGATATAATTTAGTGAAGTGCACAATTCTTGGGTAGACAGAATAATAAATATTTTGATATGTATTAGAGAATCACAATCCAAATCAAGTTATAAAACATTTCTGACATATTCCAGAAGGCTCAGTCAATAAAATAACCAAAAGGTAACCATTATTCTGCCTTTATCATCATAAAGAAACCTCTATATTGCTGCATACAGCAGTAGTTTATTCTTTTGCATTACATATAGTATTTCATTTTATGGCTATACCACAATTTCTAAAATAAATTGTACTGAGCTGGGAGTATTGCTCAGTGGTAGAGGATGTGCTCAATACAGAAGAGATCCTAGATTCAATCCTTAGCAACAAACCCAAAAAGCAAATAGATAAAAATCTACGCTGGGCTGCGGTGTTGCACACCTTTAATCCCAGCACTCCGGAGGCAGAGGCAGGTGGATCTCTTGAGTTCAGTCCAGCCTGGGCTACCAAGTGAGTTCCAGGAGAGGCACAAAGCTACACAGAGAAACCCTGTCTCGAAAACAAACAAACAAACAAATAATAAATAAAATCTGTTGATAAAACATTTAGGTTATTTCTTAGTTCAAAAAAATTTTTTATAAGATTTACTTGTTCATATGTTAATGAAAACAAAAGAAGTCCAGCCCCTATCGCTTTCTCCCAGAGTCTGTGGAAGAATCTAACAACCATCTGAGGATCTAAACTTGGGGATAACGAAAGAATCTAAGCACACTGAGTTCTTTAGTCCATTAACTTCATTCTTCTAAATCAATTCTATCCACACAGCTTCTTTTCTGTTCTCATACTCAGCTCCTCTGTCCCTTCTTCTGCTGTTCTCTCATTGTTCTAAACTTAGTTCTTCTCCATCTTCCTCTCCATCTTTGTTCCCAAGCTTACACACACACACACACACACACACACACACACACACACACACACACACACACACGAATGTTTACAACTTGTTAGTAAAAACTACAAAGTAAACTCTCAGGGACAACTATTCTGATAAGAGTCACACTTGGCAAAGACTTGGTCAACTTAACTGGTGACTGACAACAGCTGTAGGTTATAAAAAGTTCTGGCTATCTCTTAAACGGATAGCTACAAGGGTTACAAGAGAAGAAATTAAACCAATGAGAGATTTAAGGAAAAGGCAAGGAATATGTGTACTATTTTATGTGATTAATAATATCCAGACATGGTTAGTCAGTTAACAGCCTTTTTCTGTTGATCACCCGAATCTCAGACCTATACATAATTAGTCTACTGAGCCTAAAATCTTGTTAATTGTTTTTTAAATCCGAGTGGGGAGGTGCCGGTGGAGGAAGCTTAGGGCAACATAGGTGCTATTGATCTCTTGAAGGACTAAGATATACCAAGGCCAGACACCTGCACAGTAACTTCTAGTTCACTATAATTCTTTGAAGGGTTTTAATCCAACGAGGCCAGGCACCTGCAATTCCATTCTGTAAAAGTTCTACGAGGACACTTGTCTGGCCAATTTTGCCTTGTCAGTGGCTAAGGATAGAGAACAAGACCTCTCTCTGAGTGTCTACAGTCCACATGGAACAATAGACCTTGTTATGAAGCATATTTTAGTATGTTTCTATTCACCAAAATTGTAGTTAAATAAGAAACCATCTTCTAGACTATCTGCAATCACGTGTGCCCGTAAGATTGAGAAGTAATCATGAGATTACATGTACATATAACATAGAGATGCACAGTAAATGGGAGCTAGCACAGCTGTGACCGCACAAGAAG